CCGAATTGTTATCAAATCCAGCCGGTGGGTTAATCCGGTCATCAAGACCTGACCCAAGTCAGGTTTCAAATAACAGGATAGGTGTTGACAAGATTAAATGGTAAGTGACCTGGGAAATCATCACGTGATGTAATCAAAACTCAGTTATTATATTTTTTTTAAGAAAACAATATATTTTAATTTTTAAAAAATATTTAAATAAAATCATTTTAAATAAAATTATTTTAATTTATTTGACCGGCTACTTAATTATAAATCACGTAAAAATCTGATAATGTTGATTTAATAAAAATAAGCTGGTTCCACAATTAATTTTGTGGCCCCACGAAATATATTGTATGATTCATGTTCTAGATTTTAAAATTTCAAATTGAATGAACTTGAGATCCATCATTACTGATGGTGTGTTTAGATAGATGGTCTTATTGTCTATGTTTCGAATTGTGGCAAGATTATGTTTTAAATTATTATTTTTGTTTGAAAATATGTTTAAATAATATATTTTTTAATTTTTAAAATTTCTTTTTAATATTAACATATCAAGACAGTAAAAATATAATATCTTCAAAAACATGTTTTAAATTTTTAATAACTGAATCAAACGTAGCTGGAATAGCTGATGAGGTGTCACGAAGCTACCGAGGGCTGTGATCGTATTACATTATGCCTCGAGGCACTAATGAGGTTTACTCATTTCCCATCCCTAATTATAGCAGGGTCAATGCCTAATGATGCGATCTTTCTAGAATAAAGAGACATGGCAGGCATGGCATGCAACAATCATCCTATATAATTCCTTAATTATGTTCATTTTTGGTTTATTATTTTGTCTTTCGGCAAGGTAATTTATATTTTTTTTAGATAAAAATATTTTAAAGTCAATCTACAGGAGAATCAAAACTAAACAAACATTTATACGAGCTTAGAATATACGTCGTATACCAGTTTAATATTTTGAAACCAGATAAATTTATTAAAATGCTGGTCATAATATTTCATTTTTTTTTAAAAAAAAGAATAACTTTTGAAAACTGCCTCGCCAGCGACTGTCATTGTATGACTAGTCGCCCCTCCAGGGTTTAAGAGAAACATGGGGCTAATCCATCAAGGTGAGATAGGTTAGATAGATGATCACTGCCTGGGCTTTACAGAACAAGCAAATGATTGGGAAGATTTTTAGCTTTTCATTAACGTAAAAACAAAAGCATTAAACGGGGATTAAAGAACAAAATCATCACATAGAAATTCTCCATAGATGTTTTATGCGATTCATGCAAAAGGAGAGGGGGAGGGGGAGGGGGGATGTACGAGAGGAAGGAAGGGGCCCGCCAGTGATAATTGACAGTGAAAGAAGCTACAAAACGAGCGTGGCACAAGGGGACATGGAAGCAGTGTATCGTGCAGGGACGTGAGGGGACATTGGTTTCTGGATCTTCTGATGAGAAGGGGACTCCGTTTTGTCTCTTTTGTATTCCACCATCGCTTTATCATTCATCGAGCCATATTCTCTTCGGCCATTCATTATTCAAGGTTGCTTTATGGCCCTTTACACCAGAGGAGGAGGACAGAAAAGAGCCTTCTCTTTCCCATGTTTCCTCCCTCCAGTGATTGATCTCTCACTTTTTCTTTTTTCTTTTTAAATTTCGATGGACCTTTTGCATGGGTATGGTCTGGTCTTCTGCTAAAAAAAATCAAACCCCCCTTGTCCTCGTGGCCCAGCGCAAAGCTCCTCGAGCCTGCAGGGCGCTGCTCCATTTGGATGAGACTTTGAGACTGGATTCCCTAGATTGAACCGCTCATTAGTGATTAAATAAAACCACTGCCTTCTTGCTAATAAAATTCAGATTATTCTTATGTTTTAAAATTATTTTTTACATATTTTTAAATCATTTTAAAAAATAAAAAATATTATTTTAATTTATTTTTAAATAAAAAATAATTTAAATAGTAATCACTGCCACATTCTCAAATAATTGTAAATTATGTTTTGTAAAACAAGTCAACCATTTTTTTACATTGAGTAATTTAAATAGTAATCACTACCACATTCTCAAATAATAGTAAATTATGTTGTGTAAAACAAGTCAACCATTTTTTTACATTAAAAAAATGTTTTTCAAGTAATTTTTATGATTTTGATGTATTATAAAAAAATTATTTAAATATATTTTCAATTAAAAATATTATGCATTGTATTATCAAATATATAAAAATATTGTTTGACAATGTAATGGCAATTGCTTTTTAAAGAATTTTTTATTTAGAAATGCATCTATATATATTTTTTATTTTATAAAATTTATTTTCAACATCAACGTATCAAAATAACCAAAAAAATCATAAAAAATTAATTTATAATATATAAAATAATAACCAAAAAAATTATAAAAAATTAATTTATAATATATAAAATAATTAAAAAAATATGTTCATGCCACTTAAACAATCACACTTCAAGTTATAACCCAATCAAATACTATTCTCTTTTCTCATAAAAAGAGGTTTATCGGGAATTCAAGCAATATTACAATACATCGTCACATTTTTAATATAATGTCTTGTTGGTATTGTGATAATATTTATTTTTAAAATTATTTTTTATTTTAAAATATATTAAAATAATATTTATTTTTTATTTTTAAAAATTTATTTTTTAAAAAAACTGAAGTTAAAAACATATTCAATTTCTTAGCTTTTCAACTGTAAAAACCAACCGACCTTGTTCCGTGAGATTTAACCTTGATTTGCATCCTATCAAAATCGTGGTTGGCTACCCAGCTGAGCCTCGTCTTGGCAAAGGTAACAACAGATGTTACGCACTTGCAAAGCATGTTTATGTTTCTTAGTGGACATTTATGATTTTCATTTCGCATCAAAATAGCTGATTTTATGCATGTTTTGCATACTTCGACGCCACGGCAAGTCTCTTACTGCAGACTCTCGTCGACAGCTTTTGCCCTTTCTAATTCCTGCATTAAATGTCAACATTTGCGGACATTGGAGTACCTGCTCACCAAGAGGCATGCGGCATGCCCTCGTGTTTATCGTCAAGAACATAGTCTATCAAGGGCCGCCCTTATTATTATCGTTTTTTGATGGGTGGATTTTAATAATAAATTATAAAAAATATATTTATTATTTTGATATATTTTGAATCAAAAAATAATATAAAAAATAATCATTACAACAATATCAAATACAATCCAAAGACATGAATGTACTCCCGAATGGTTTAGCAAAACTACCCGTGTAGGATAACCAAAGCTAACTCTAAGCTTATTACAAGCAGTGATGCCTTGATTGATCTTCTCTGCAAGCTACCCTATAACACGGAAGATTGGTACGCGGACGTTTACTATAAACTCAACCGTAGGGTTAATTCAAAAGGTAAAAATAACACACATTCAATGCAAGATTCTAATTCAACTCTTACCACTGATTCCTTAAAATAATATATCTATGTTCAACCAAGCTTATTGTAAGGATATTTTAATTTACCATGATATAAAGATAGGAGGAATAATTTTTTTTTTAAAAATATTTTCACAAGGAAAATGGAAAACAGAAAAGAGAACGACGGACCTTTTGTGGAAGAAAAGGAAACGAGCCTATTGCTCTACCCGGCCTGAAACCTAGCCCATCAAATTCTAAAGACAACTCATGTAACCTTTACCTATTCTTAACAGATCCAAAACCCATAGGCCCAATAAACGAGGCCCAATGTCTCTCATCACCGTCTTGAAACCTTGACCCAACAATCCGAGCTTAGCTTTCTCTGGGTTTTTACAGGGTTTTGCAGCTTCCAATGAAAGCCCTAGTCTCCAAAATCCTTAAAATCCAAATCCAAATCCAAAAATTCAGCTCTCAACAATGGAGGGAGTGAGCAAATCGGTAGCCGATTTGATAGTTTACGAGCATCCATCGCAGAGTAAGGATGTCGATAAAGCAATCCTCCATGAACTCAGCTCTCTCCTCTTCAAGTCTGTTTCTTTACCCTTTCACTTTATATAGAACTGTAGATTTTTTGTGTTTTTTCTGAAGGGTTTTTTTTGTTTTGTTTTGCAGATATTCTCAGGCTTTCGATGGAGTTGTGTTGGCTTTTACAGTGTTGAGCTGAATTTGGATGTCCTTGCTCCTTGAAAGATGCAATTGGCTTTTACAGTTTGGATGTCCTTGCTCCTTGAAAGATGCAAGAATATTCACTTACAGTTCATTTCAGCATCAGTACCATAAAAAAAGATATCTTTATGGAACAAAAGATCAGCCAGTTAATTTTTAGTAACATAATTGTTGATGGGCATGTGGAGTGCACCCAAATCATAGGGAGGTGTATTGTGGGGAGTTTGACATCCAATTTCTTAGATTTTATTTATCTGGAAGATTGTGCTTGGAGAGAGGTTGGCAGATAGGACTACTGGCTGCTTTCAAGGCCCTGGTTTTACGGTAGCCCAGAAAGAAAAATGTACAAACATTATTTATCAACCATCAAACACTTCTGTTTTAGGCACTAACATAACACATGTGATTTATGCTCTATATCTAGTTGCTTTCTCCTCTCTTTTTTTCTGCAAGGATTACAAGAAGTTCACAAACGACTGCATTACCTAATTATCAGAATGTGGATGATGAAACAGCCTTACAGTGTGCCTTTTCTTTTTGGTTAGAATTTTGAGAGGATCACGACAAGACATGCTTAGTTTACTCATTGCCCTTAGTCTAATTGACAGACAGCTTAGTTTACTTGTGCCCTCGGTCTACTAGATAGACTGAAAATTGTGGAGGTAACTGTAACATCTGACACATTGCTGTTGCTGTAAATTTTAAATCCCGTCAAGCTTTTTGTTTTTTCCTGCAAATTGTGGTGTTGCTTTTCCGTGCATCTACCGACTCTGGTTGTATAATACAAATAACAGTGATAAACTGTTTGGGGTGCCAAATTTCAAGTCTCAACATATCAAACTGAAACAAGCCGCTCAAGTCACATCATATTAACTATGATAAACTCCCTGCTGCATGTTCCCCTGTTACGAAATTGGGTTGATTCGGTAATTTTATTGAGACCTATCCAACACAAAATAGATTTTATTTCGCTGACTTCTATTTATAAATGTTTGAATTTGGTTGATTTTTGCAGCTTGGATGAGGAAATACTACACATTTCAGGATCCTTTATTCCAGCCAATACTGGAAGTGTTCATTGGTTGGACAAATATTATGCTGATGCTGGAACTGACAGGTTTTCAACCGAACTCGCAGCTCCAAACTTTGGATGAATTTGTTTCCAAGTTTTTGGATTTTAACTTTAAGTTGACTTTCTATCAGTAACAAGAAGCCAAGGATACAGACCGAGGAAGAAGTTGAAATGCAAGAGCAGGTCACTGTAGGCGGAGAGACATTACCTTTGGTTAATGACCACGAAGTAAAGAGGTCAAAGAAACGTAGAAGAGCAGAAGATCAATGAAGGCTGTTGTTGCTTCCTGGTTGTTTACCATTCTCGTTTTATCTTTTTGATCCCGCTCTGTTGTATGATCAGTCAAACAGTTTTAATTCCTCACAAAATCTCTTTTTTTCATTTGTATTTGGGGTTGAATTGTTATGCCTACCTGATTATTCTTAACCCCAACATTGATTAACATTGACCCCTCACCAAGTACATCTCTCGGGATGCAATTTGTTGTAAATACAAATATTTTGCTTCAAGTAATTTGAATTTCTGTAGAGGTGGCACGGAAATTAACTGTCCAAGATTCATGCGTATATATGTTGTAGAAGTGGAATTCTAGATACCAAGACTTCTATCATGTTCCATTGTTTGCTAAGATTATTATGCTGTAGGCAAATGAGCGGGATGGATATGCCATGCGTGAAAGATATTGTCTAGGCTCATTGAGTCGAGTGATCACGCAAGGTCCAAAAAAAGGAACTAGCGGAGGTTTGGTTTGCGGTGGCCGACCTCCACTTGTCGCTAGATGGTCTTTCATCAACCAATCTAGACGATGCTCAGAGGTTGAACCTTTGGTGATTCTCCATTATGTTGGATAACAACGCTCTGTAAACTACAGCTATATGGCCAGGTGTCAAAAACGGAGGCCTCTGGAGATTTCGTCAATCTAATTCCTTGATCAATCACATAAAAGTTGGAGGACATCTAGTGTTGGTTTGTCAATCATTTTTGCGAGGATTTGGGTGTGCAAAAGTACATTCCATTGGCACCATGTACTTCTGATTGGCATGGCAGCAGCATATCCATTTTGCCTCCCCTAAAACCACTACAGATTAAAAACAAATCGGTATTGGTGGAAGCAAGATCAATTTTAGCATATCATCACGAGGCATGGGGTTTCTTTCATTCAACACCCCATATTCGATCATGGGCCCATGTAATATTTCATCATATATTAGATGTGAGCATTGATATATAAATTGGGGATGAGGTGAGAAAGCTGGGTGAGAGAAGTCTGGTTTTTTCTGGTTGGTGAATGATTCTCGCTTCCTTCCAACTCCCATGTGAGAGCTTGCTTATTAAAATCAGAAGAATACAGAGAAGATCATGACAAACTTTCCCCTCATAATCCGGTCTTGTAACGTGCTATCTTAGCTTACCAAAAGCATGAAGTCTAAATCTTAATTTCTTCTTGATGAGAATTTTAACCTCTCTTCTTATGAGACATTTAGCAGACTGGTGCATGTGTATGAGAGAAGGGCGTAGCAGCTAACATCGCATCTTTGTTTGGTTCACATCACCTTATTTCACCCACTTCTGACAAGCATTTTCTCACTTTGAAACTTTGTGATTGGTTTGGTTTTCGAAAATCTTTTATAGATACGAAGATGATATTGCCCCTTCGTTATAATGGAATAATCAGGTTTCGAGATAATTTTATAACCCTCCTCCCTTCTCATGCATGCTGAGGTGAACTGCATTTCGCTTGGTACAAGAAGCTTCTTAAACCAAGAATAGGGGTTATGTAGAGTTTTGGTTACTGTTTCGATACAGAAAAAATATGGAAACAACAGGACAGAAAATGCATGTTTTGATGTATTTTTTATTTTAAAGATATATAAATTCATTTCAAAAATATATTTATTTTATGTTTTTATCTTTCTTCTTCAACTAAACATGCTTTTGTATCTATTTTTTTTTTTTTTTATCAAAACAGCAATCAAATATCACAGTATGTGATGATTTTTTTTTTATATTATTATTAATATAAATATCCAAACTAACTTGCATGTATTTTAATTAATCACACATATTCTCAAATTAACATATAAGTTTTTAAAGATTATTATATTAGTAATTTTATGAAAAACAAATCTTTTAATTTGAAGTTATTATCACTAAATTATTTATGATGATAATTATTTTTATTAAAATATAAGGGTGTAGTTTATAAAACTATGAATTATTTCGAGTGCCTTACTCCTATATATGTAAAGAATTTTAGAACAGAAAATTAACTAAACCTTAGAAAGTATATAAAGCTTTGGGACCGAGGGTTGTATGTGAATCCCTAATAATTATAATCAAACATTCTTCAACAACAAAGAAGTTTCGACTTTATATTATATGGTTGTCCTTGTTAAAATATAAGTTCGTAGTTTTGTTTATATACATGAGGCATGCTGGAGTCTTGCAGGTCAATTTGATTAATACTCTTTAAACTATAAAAAAATATACCGGAGAGGCCAATAACTATCAAGGTCTTATGGCGACCTTAATTCTTCGTAATATCAAGAAAGAATATCAATCATTTTCAATCATTTGAAATAAATAAAAATTAAAATGGTAAAGGAATGATTGGCACTTAAGAGCACTTTGACTTCAACTTCCTACCCACCTAGGCTTGCCTCTTGCACCATACACTCCACCCTCCACCCTCCACCCATGGCCCATTGAAAAAGAGGTCTCGCACGTTCATCATTGTGTTCCCTAATCAAGTCAAATATTTAGATCGATGACTGAATATGTTATTAAGAGTAGTTGGGTCTTAAATTCACTCTAATCATCATCACTGTAAAAATTATGTTTAAGGGAGTGTGAGTTAGCATAATGTGAAATATATGGATGGAAATTCAAATAAAAAAGTTTTTTCAAAATTAACTTAAAAAATGAGGATAAATGTGGGATTTTTTTTAATAAAAAGTTCTAGGTGGGTATATTGAAAATCAAGTGTAACTAGGGTTTAAAGTTCATTTTTAAAAAAAAACCCTTCTGGTGCCAAATTAAAGCTCCTAAAGATAAAGATAAAGAGTGTCTTATATTTTAAAGTATGATGTTTTTTAATTGAAGATATATCAAAATAATATTTATTATTATTATTGATATTGATATATTAAAATTATAAAAAAATACATAAAAAATATTAATTTGATATTTTTTAAATAAAAAATTAATTGAAAAAAAGCTTTTATGGAAAAATAGGTTTTTATGCAACAAACAGACACTCATAAATAAATCCACCACTGAATTAAATTAGGGAGGCAGTTGATAGAAGTTCTAAAGCAGCCAGCTATGCATATATACATGTATGTGGGTTTAATAATGTAGCAGCCTCGTCATCTCTTCTTCTTTTTTTTCCTTAATTCAGACTTTTGCCAATGTCATGTTCAAGAAAGTTTGGTTTAATTCAATTAAAACTTTATGAATTTCTGTTCATGACTGCTATATTTTTTTCAAGCATGAGAGAGAAGGCAATGGTACGGCAGTTTGTGGAATCTTGAAGGCACGGGTGCTCTGGGCTCTCGGAATCTGTACGGGTCTCTTGGGAATTAGCGATCAAAAAAGGGGCCTAGCCAAAACTGAGAGGTTGCTTGTGATTATGATAGTTATTGATTTTAAAAGTGATTTTTATTTAAAAATATATTTTTAATATCAGTATATTTAAATGATTTTAAATTTTTTAATTTTAAAAAATATAATTTTAATCGTGTTTTCGAACACAAAATAGTCTTTATTCATAAGTTACGTTGCAGCTAGCTCGTTATTTGCCGAGATTTCACACTCCCAATGTGAGGGTCTTGTAAACATTGAAAAGTGAATTCCCTATAAGCCATAGCCCACGACACACTGCCTGTATCTTTTGCGTGTACTCCATAGTTATTAAAACTGATTCGAAAGTATACCAGTGTAGGAGCATCTTCCATATAAAATGCGATTTAAAAAAATTAAATTGATAAAACAGTATTTTAAATAATATAAATATAATTTTTTTATTATCTTTATTCCAATGAAAAAAACTATTTGAACAGTTATTTATATTGAAGTTAGAGAAACAAGTATTTCATTATTTTTTAATAAGTTTGATATTATTTTTTTATTTGGCTATATTTAATTAGTTTATTTTTTTAATGACTCCACTTTATTGGTTTTGATTCTTTTGAGAGATATATATGAATAGTATTTATAAAAAAAAATACATTTTAGTATTCTATTTACCACTTTAATGTGTAAAATAAACATAAAAAACTAAAATAATATTTTTTAATATTTAGCTTTTCATTTAACACACTCTTGTTGGCAATGCTAACCCAAAAGAAGTAATTTGTATAAAATAAAATTTTTAAAATAATATTTTTTAAAATAAAAAATTAACAAGTTTTTAACCAGGTTAATTAAATTAAAAATCAACTTGAATTTATAACTATGTTAAACCAGGTTAATTTCTTCAGGTCAGTTTACACTCCAGGTCGACTCGCTGTGCAGATCCGGTTTTATAAATATTCAAAAGTGAACCCCCAGCAGGCTATGGTCCAGGACATTGGGTGTCCTTGTCTCTTATGTACACCCAGGAATCAGAAGGCTTTTGTATCAATGAAGAGCGGTGTTTTTGAGGTTTATAAGATTCTGTATTCACCGTCCAATTTATGGTACGAAAGAGCTGGAAAAGAAAGACCTTTTGCTTTTATCGTGTGAGTGGACATAATATTAATTAGGGCTAAAATCCAAGGGAGGAACATTAATTTAAACCCATGTAAGTGCTGAGTTCTCTTACGTAAGACGAAGGTTTGTTGTATTGAAATTCTGTGATGTATGGTAGCTTGGTTCTACAATAAAATCAAGTGTTCGTGCGAGTGCACTTCTATCTGTACTGTCTACCCCTCTGCTTGCAGAGTAGTGACATGATCGCATTAATCTGGCATGTTACAAGTTGTGCAAATGACGTTGCTTAGCCGCGGTGGCTCAGGGGAGAAGTCATCGAGACTACTGATAACCATTAATGCTTGCTGCAACCAGTCCTCCGCTATCAACACAATTTTCGCATGGATGTGTTGAATTTTAAAATAAAAATTCATTTAAATATATTTTTAAATAAAAATATATTTTAGAAAACGCCCTTCATTACAATCTAAAAACATCAGCTCGCAAATTGCGGGGATAGGGACCAAGGATCTTGCATGTATACGCAACTAGTAATCTAACGGGACTATAATATTTACAAAAAATATACAGGGCATGAGAAATTTGCTGTAGAACTAGAGGGAGTCTAGTGTGGACTGTGGCAATGAATAGATGATTTTGTCCTTTGTCAAATCATCCATTTCAATGTTTTTTATATAATAAATTTACTAAATTACCCTCCATGTTAAAATTAATTCAGGCTTGTTGCGAGGGAATATTCATATTTTTTATCTGGTTTCCTGTTAAGACAGGGTGAGTAGAGAGGTGGGCTTCAAGGTAATTTAAAAAGTATATATATTAAAAATTCAAACTTATCAGGCATCTGCC